CTGCGGCAAAGGCATTGCTCAGGAAGCTGGACATGATCCCAGAGAAAGGCAACAGATGCTACGACTTGTTGTGTAAGGAATACTATTGGTGCCTCTGAGCTCACTGATGATGTCTTAGAAGAGGCTGCTTCCATGAATGCTCAGTATGTTTAAATTCACTGCAATTTAGATACAGTGTCAAAGTAGTGATATTTGAGACCAGCTATTCTCAGTAATGCAAAACCTCAAAAACATTCAATCAAATAAATTTTATTTTCAATAAATAATTATATTTATTTTCTATTTATTTATTATTATATTAATATTATTATGTTTATTTTATAATATAATATAATCAATAATTTTTGTATTTTCAGAAAAATAATAAAAAGGGGTTAACACTACTGGAAGCTCCAGAAATAAAACAAATATTTCATTGCGGAATTATTTAAGCATATAAGTCACAGGTGACAAGAAAATTCATGGGGAAATTGAAGGAAAAATAAAAAAATATGCATTGTAAATTTAATGTGTAGTATTTAGTTATAATAGAGGAGAGAAGAACTCATGGTTTGATTTCTTGCAATTTTCTCTTAAGGCATTCGTCCATCTGGATTTGTGGTGCCTGCACTCTTTGCTTATTTGCTCTAGGTTTACTGAACTACATTCTTTTCACTATTAACTTTACCACTTTTTGAAACCACCAATACATACGTCTCGTGTATTCTTAACTTTAGTTCAAAAGAAATTCCTGATCTTTTCTCATACACTGGGTGGCATTTAGACGTCGTTATCATTCCCTAATCTAGATAGTTTCCTAGGTAGATTTAATGATTCAACAACTTAGGTATTTTGCATTCAATTGAAATTAGATGTGGCATGGTAATAAAGATCTTGGTTTTTCGGAAATTAATTTTTAGTGCCCTACTTTGCTAATGCTTGCATGACATTGTTCAGACATATTCTTGAATTCTGTTTTTATCATTTATGATCAAGACCTAATCACCAAATTGCATGTTGGTTAGGTATTGTAAGCCATTTCCAGTGTATGTCTTCCTCCCCCTAACACCCTCAAATGTAGTCATAACTTCTCAGGTATCAAAAAGAGAAGCTGTGGGGAGATATTTGTCCACCATTTGTACACAATTTTGATTTAATTGCTTCTCGTCGACAAGACCTTAGGGTTCACGGTTTGACGTTTTCATATACTTAGAACGATAATCGATTTCAAGAAGCTTGTTGGAGTCTACACACATTTCCAGTTATGGAGACCAGGCAAAATAACAGTCGTTAACTGAATTGTATTTTCAATCGGCAATACAATACTCAAGTGTTTAAAGCCTTTTTGATACTCAGCTCTTACTTGACTAATTGATGGAAGCCAAACGTATAAGTTAAGCGCATCCACTAAAATCATTATCAGTAATATATAAATGATCCCACAAGCTAACCCTTTAATGCGCAATGCAATCTTCAGAAGCATGTGCCTTCCATCTTTCATGCAGGGAGCCAACATAGACTTTCCGGGAATTTTTCCTCTGAATGGTGGAGTGTCAGTGAAAACAGGAGGGTAACATTAGAGTTCACTAAGCTGACTAACCTGCTGTTCCACCTACCCCTTCCCTTCACCTGCTTTGAAATTCTTCTAACCTGATCTAAACCCTATGTCTAAGTGTTAAATGTGCATCCCCCCTCTTTCTGAAGAACTTCAGAAATCAAAGAGTTGGAATCCATTTGTTTCCACATTTTTGTTCAGTATAAGATGCCTTGTATCAGAGGAATCCTCCTATTTAGTACTATTATTTGTAAATTATAGTGCGTAATTAGAACATAATGTTGGGAAATATCAGCAACTCTTCCTTGGGGCAATGAAAGCTGGAATTAAAAAATTTGGGTAATGTAATTATAGTTCACCATTGTTTCTTTTTTACCTCATTAACCTTCCTGTCCCACAGCCTCTTGAAAGATTTCTCCAGCATGAGTTACTTACACTTCCCTCACAAGGGCTTTCGTTTTGAGCCTTAACTCTCATGCTTCCCTCTCACTCCTTTCCTTTCACATTTACTCTCCTCACCTTTAAAAACCCCCTTCACACTTTCATTTCACTCCCCACTCTTTGTTTTTTAACTTTCTTCTCCCTTCCCAAAGTCTTTTTGCCTCCTTTTGTTTTCTGGTCCCACTCTCCTTTTGTTTCACTCTCCACTCTCATTTTATCTCCCTCACTCATCCTTGTCCTCTCCTTCCCGCTTCTCTTTCCCTCTCCTTCATTCCCTCTTTCCATACCATCATCACTCTTCCTACTTCTTGATTTTTCCTTGCTCATCCTCCTCTATAACCCTTACACCTGTTTCCACATCCCCCTCTCACTCTTTTCCCCAGTCATCGATGGTGTTATAACTGCGCTCTCAAGAGTGTGGATGCGGGAACATTGTATCGCAACAGCCTTGGACTGTCTCTATCTATATAGCGATTTTTTACACCTTGGGCCGTTTTCAGCATCTCAATTTTCCATGCCTCTTTATTCCATATATCGTTTTTCTCCATTTCTCTTTTTTCCATGGCGTCAGTTTATTGCCATGTTCCACTCTTCTCGGTCTTCCCCTGTATCTTCTTTGATTAGGTATCCACTCCCAAACTTATTTGTGGAAATCTAATCCGATTTTACCTTCTCATATGTCCTTATCAGTTTTTAGTTGGTATCATTTTCGATCGTCTGTTCTAGGTTGTTTTGCTCTTTCTTTTAGTGTCACATTTAATTTCGTATTTTGTCTAACAGAGAAAGTTTACAATCTATGCCAGAAACAACATTTCTGTTGACTGAAGTTTTGTCTTTCCAAATTTTTTTGTTAGTGTCCAGACTTCTGCTCC